TTATTTATTTAGTAACATTTAAAATTGGAATAAAAATTATTCGAATTTTCAATCAATCAATTTTGAGTGATTCATAAAGGTAATAAGGGTTACAGTTTGCCAGATGGAGATTAAGCCGCTTGGCTTTTCATCCAGCTGGGTATTAGTCACAGCATTTCTTTTTTTATTTATTTTTTTTTTATTTAAAAAAGGTACACCAACAGCTTCTGTATATAGCAAATTTAATAAAACAATGATAACATTAGGTTTTGGCCTTATACAGTCGCCAATTACAGGTAACCAGCATTCTTAAAAATAAAGTGATAACCTAGTAGTGTAAGAACGAAACTATCTATTACAATAACATTATTAGAATTATATTAATAGAGATTATACTAAAAGATACATAACTGATTAAGTGGTGAGGATCGGGATTCAATATATTATTTGGGTTTTAAAGACTTTTACAGAATCGTGATATATGTCAACATTTGGAACGGATTTTGTAAAATAATTCATCTCTCGGGTAAGCCTATTGAGAGGCGAGTTTACTCCTAAATTTGTGTTGGATGCTTTTGTGTGGAATAGGTGTGTAAAGGGATATGTAGGTATGTTATGTGGTACTTTAAGACCTATCTGCTCAATTAGCTTGCAGCAGTCCAACTTATTATTGACCAATTTGTAAAGGAACATAAGATCCTGCGTCAGTCGCCGGTTACGTAGAGTAGTCATGTCATAGCGTTTAATACGTTATTCGTATGGACACCGTTGTAATATATTTCTTTGTCTGTGCGGCGTAAAAGGAAGCGTCAAACTCTTACTGACAAAAATACTAAATACTTGGCTTTTTCACCTGCTCCAGACCGGGGTCGCGGTACATTATTGAGCTAGACCAGTAAGTAACCCTGGGTGTCACACCATTGAAGTTTATTTTTGACGAGTAAAATGATTGTTCAAGCTTTTTCTGAGATCAGTGCCATCTAGTGAGTAAAAAAAACTATAGTTCCGATTTTTCCAATGTTTAATAAATTTAAATCAATGCTCATTATAATATGTTCAATGTTAATACCTTTACATGAATGTAGCCTAGTGAACCACGATCTGAGAGCAATGTCTATTTATCCTGAACATAAATGATCCATTGTTAGACTTAAAAACCCGTCACTTTATTATAATATTAACATTAGGTATAATATAATTATGAACTATTTGCTATATTCTGGATTATACCATAAGAATTTCGCAAAACACAAAAACTGTATTAACTACTACAACTAACAATTAAACTAAAAAAATACTTCCGACTCAGTGAATTTTATATTCACAGCCACTTGCAACAACTACTTCATCAACGACGAATTTCCATACATTATGATATACAGCTCAATTCAAACCTTAGTTAGTAATCATAAGATTCAGACATAAATGCGTACAAAGAAACTATTCAATTTTATAATATCACTAGCGGACCCTCCCCTAAAACACCCACTGCACCACATCTCCAATAGCGAAATTGTTAGGGCCGTTTCCAAGATCACATATTTTTTCAAGCAATCAACGCCATCTGCTTGGCTGATTTGTGAATGTAAACCATACAGAGTTCCACTTAAACGCCTAAGAAGACCGATTTAAATGAAAATCATTTAGGAGGTCAAGCCGTTCAGGAGGAGTTCAATGACATACACACGTACAAAAGAATTAAATATTTAAAAAGATACATATTATTATACAGGTAAGAAAATGTTTGAAATAAAAGTCCTCAGGTACTTCGTACATATGACACGGCTAATAATTGGCTTGAATATCGGTCAGGGTCATGACCTTATCTGGGGGTTGCACTCAAGTAGCGCAGGGGACACTCGCCCCTTCACCTGAGTAGGGCTGTGTAGCTTCGAATTTACGATACATTGACATAAATATCTATAACTTTTTATCACTATGTACTAATAACAAACAGAGTAAAAGCTTTTGTGAATATTTTTTCTTAATGGAAATGTTGCCCTGCACTAGGATTTTCTCCTATGTCGTTGGCGTATTTACACACATACAATTTCAAACACACATCACACCCAGACCCGGAACAACAATTTGTGGATCACACAAAGAGTTGTTCCGTGCGGGAATCGAACCCGCGACACGTTGCGCGGCAGCCAGTTGCCCAGTCACCGCACCAACCATGCAGTCATGTCGTCCGGTCAGTATGTTTTATAAGAGCAAAAGCTCACCAATTTGTATACTCTCCGGGTATACAATTAGTCAGTTTTTCAACTCAATTCTTATGCATGGAAATTTTTCTACAGAATCGAAACCTAGGTACTCTAACAAGCTCTCAAATGTCGTAGGTAACCCGCATACGAAAATGGATTGTACATGTTATATCTACTTAAGACGTATTGCCTCATACTAAACCGAATTTGAACATCAAGTCTGTTTAGTTAATATCCTCAGATATTTAAAATGTATTAAAAATAACGTAACTCTTATTCATGAGTAGCGTGCACGTCGCGGCGACGTCACGCATCTTTATTGGTTTAGTCAACATCATGTAAGTCGTTATTGTCAATTCGAGGTATAAAACAGCATAGTCGGCGCGTGCACTGGGCAACCGGTCACCGCAAAACGTGTCACGTGTGTTCGATTCCACTGTTCCGTACCAGGTCCTACAATGAACTAGAACTGGCAACAATCGTTACATTTTTACAAGTCCACCGTTGCTTAAGCATTAAAAAGAATATATATATGATGGTGATGATATCTACGTATTTTACTTTCTTGTTCATTTCTAAGAAGTATCTAAGAAGTATTATTATTATACGCTATCCGTGTGGTGATGAATGAAACAAATTAATTATTCCGGGACCAGTTTTTAGGACAAAAACATTTTCTTATCCACCGTGACACGACACATTATTTTGCAGACCATGTTTGTTATACAAAGATATTTGTCGACCGTATTCCACGAACATTTTTCGTCAGCAAAAACCCATATTTTTGGCTACAACGACATAATTTTTTCTACCTCTCTGCATTGCTTTAATATTTACTTATAACACTCGAGTTCAGATATCGAAGTTAAATTGCTTTCTACTTATGTTTGATTGATTTTACATTATTATGGAAATTAGTTTGGATGTGAGCATATCTTCCTGACTAATTTCCATAAATTCAAGTTTCGTGGTACATATCTAACATACATACAACATCGCTTTATTCCCTGAAGATGTCGACATATGTATATGTACTGTACATCCATTTTTGAATAAGTTGCAGAGACATCATAATCATATGTGTTGGTATCGTCAGGCAACATTTATTCTTAATAAGGAGTTTCTCTCCCCACTCTCCTCTCTCTCTATCTTTCCCCCCCCTCTCCCTATCCCTCTCTCTCTTTCTCTAGTCTAGTTTCAAATCACACCGGGACTCTTATTTATGTACACCGATTTGTCTACAGCTAGCTAAGTTACTAGTTGAAAAAAATGAAGTAATGTACTTTTTTTTTATGTAGTAGGTCGGCAAACGAGCAGACGGATTACCTGATGGTAAGCAATCAGCGCCGCCCATGGACACTCGCAACGGAGGAGTTACGAGTGCGTTGCCGACCTTTTAGGGATTAGGGATTTGGAGATATAGGGATTGAGGAGGGATTGGGGAAGGGGAAGGATTGGGCCTCTGGTAACCTCACTCACACGGCGAAACACAACGCAGTGGTTATTTCACGCCGGTTTTCTGTGAGGCCGTGGTATCACTCCGGTCGAGCCGACCCATTCGTGCCGAAGAATGGCTCTCCCACACTTATCATGGCTCTCCCACACTTCTACTACGTACTATTTTTAATGTCTAACTTTTTTATAGGAGGCCATGGCGTAGGTGTACATAACATCAGAGGACACATAATTGCGTTGCCGGACTTTTAAGAATGAGTACTCTATTTTTACCAATACTACTAACAGTTAATTCCATAGGTTTAGCGAGAATGCCACTTATTTCCAATTTAGCATGAATTAGCTGTAACTGCCACTGATTGCTTTATTCGGAAAACCTACTCTTCGCCCTCTACACATTTTTTTTTTTATGTAATAAGTCGGCAAACGAGCAGACGGATTACCTGATGGTAAGCAATCAACGCCGCCCATGGACACCCGCAACGGAGGAGTTACGAGTGCGTTGCCGACCTTTTAGGGATTAGGGATTTGGAGATTTAGGGACTGGGGAAGGGTCCGGGAAGGGGAAGGATTGGGCCTCCGGTAACCTCACTCACACGGCGAAACACAACGTTGTGGTTGTTTCACGCCGGTTTTCTGTGAGGCCGTGGTATCACTCCGGTCGAGCCGACCCATTCGTGAATTACCATATAGTTGGACAGTATACAGTACAAAAACTAAAAATTAATATCTATCTGTGAGAAGGTACATAAGGTCCACATTGGTCTTAAAATATGTCAAATAAATATTTTTGGGTTTATCTAAAGGGAAGAACACCGATTAATAAATAAATTAAAACATTTAATAAATCACTTTATTTTTAATAATTTATATTCTTTTTATTATAATTTGAAGAACACAATTTTATATTTTCTGTTAGTTTATATAATATCTTTTATTTTACAACATAGTTACTTAATTTACAACCTTCATTAATACATCAATTTAAAATTAATATAACCTAGTATTATGTAATAAAATTGTATATTATTATAAATTGTAAACGGGACGACTTTATTTACGATTCATTTATTAATTTCATTTTATATTTTGTGCTTTAATAACACACCTAAAGAAATTTAATTGAGGAAATACATTCATAAATATTACATTTCTACTAGAAAATCCAATCGAGCATAGATGGCAATAATATAATAATATATCAGAAATTAATAATTAAAATTTGGTAGTATATTTACAAGTACTTTTGTAGTTATTATTTTGAGTAAATTTATTTATTTATAAATTTTTGATAGTATTTTAAAATTAAATTTAAAATAAAAATAATAGAAGTCCCGTTGAAAAAAATATTATCTTATCCTCTATCTCACATGATTTTCATAAGGGTGTTTATACATTGGGTTGGCACATATATTTCAATACAAAAACATATTACAATTCATATATAAATCTAAATACAAAATAAATGTTAAAAATTCAATATTTGCGTCTTAACAAAATTATTTGTATAAAATAAAATACAAAAAAATATTCAGTCTTTAAACAGATGTTTCACTGTTGGCCACGTTTTAGCTATGAAATTAGATCGAATTTTGATTCAAAAAAGACCCAATGATACAATTAGTAAATGACTCTTATTAATCTACAGTTTGTTTTCTTTTATATTTTACAGGTACCTATCTACTTGGTGTTCGATTTAATGAGATTCACGAAAACTACGGCTTCACAAAAATATGTATTTTATTTATATTTTTATATATATTTGTGTTGGAGTGACCACTACTGAATTATTATCTGAAAGTGCAATTTCTTCTAACATTTCGTGATTTTAGAATTTAGCTTTCTATTATAACTTACATAATAAGAATTGAAATTACACAATGTACAATTCAAAACCTATATTTATCTTTGTAAATTATATTGACCACATACAACAATCTACTGAGTTTAAAATTATCTTAGACATAATTTTGTAATATTCATAAATACCCTTTCTATACATCAATAAGTTTAGAGCATGACGACTACGGAGACAGACACACTTCAACACATGTATGTACAAAGTGATGACGCTACTGTTCTTAGGAATATTTACAACATGATCGTGTGCCGGACGATTACAGCGGCCACATGTAGGATATGTCGGACAAGTGGGCGCCGGGCGACGGCGGCGGCGGCGCGCGCGGCATGTACGGCGAGTGCGGCAGGTGCGGCACGTAGGGGCCGGGCGAGGCGGGCGCGGCCGGCGGGCCCCGCGCGCCTCAGATCGCGGCCAGCAGCGGGCTCGGCGAGCGCGCCACCCGCCGCACGCTGCCGCTTCACGCCTCCCCCATCATATCCTCGTCTCCCTGCACACGCGCACTCGACATACTCTCAGCGTCACACTCCTCAACTTCCCAACTCTGAGAGCGAGATGTTTCATTCGTTTTACTATGAGTAGGGCAGCTAGGACTAGGACGCCACTACCACGGAAGAGGAAACTATGCGACAGAAAGTTTCTCATCCTCGTCATGCAATCGGCTCGCAGGCAATCTTAGTCTACGACTCGCGGGATCTAGGGAGTTGACGTGCGGGATTGTGCGAGTGAGTTAAACCACGTATTACGGTGTCAACACTTACATATAAGAAGTAATTACCATCATCGTGTGAGGCGCAGGCGCGGAGTGCGCCGGCGCCGGGGGGGCGGGAGGAGCCATCGGCGGCGGGGGCGCGGGGGGAGGCTCCGGAGACACGGCCGCGGGAGAGAATGACGCTGGTGCTAGCGGTGATTGTGCTATACAGAAAATGTTAGGTATACTCCTGAATGTCCTGAACATCTCTATCAACCAGTTAAACAAATAAGGTTTACATACCAGCAGCGGTCAGAGCCAACACAAACTGACTCCAGTGCACGCAACAGCCGCAGCACAACTGTAAAGCCGCTCTCCGTAAAGCTCGATGCAAAGCCATGAACAGCAGGGGATTAACCGCCGCGTGAACATACGAGATATGTAGAGTGATTTGGAAATACATCTGAAACAATAGGTATTTGTAGGTTATTGTATAAAATAGTTTATACGGTGCCAGAGATTTTATAATAATATTGTCGAGTGATTTCTTACTTCATAGGCTATGTGCGATGTTAGTGCCGGGTGATGCAGTAGAGTGATCAGGAACAGTGGGCCCCAGAAAAGCACGTATGCTGCAGTGATGACGAGGAACATGCGTACACGACGAACACCCTCACGTTCCACTCGAGCTAGGTAACCTCGCAGCCTGCGTCCACCGCCCAGGGGAAGATTGTTGCTGCCTGTTTGGCGACCATCCGAAAGAGTACCATCCACAGTCTGTGAGAAAATTAATTATATTAGAACAAGTGCCATTAGCACATCTAGTACTGTGCACTATTAGCAGGGATTTGTACATAAAATAGATTAAAACTTAAAGAAATAACCGATACAAGAATAAAAAAAATATTTAAAAATAGCCAATTGGTAACCAATCACTGACACTTGACAAATCTATCTATCAAGCTGTTAACAATTTTGTTCAAATACTAGTAAGAATTGCATATTTAAATTTGATAAGAAAAAAAACAGCTTGTTTTATAAATAAACATACATGTATATAGATAATAAATTGAATAAAGAAGAGAAACAAAAATAATCATTGGTATTAAAAAATTTGAAATTGGAACACAATACTATAGAGGTAGGTATTTGATAAAGGCAGAGAGCGGTCAAGGAATATAATAGACATACACATAATAGCTGAGAATACAAAGACTAAGATGTACAGGATGAGACAAGCATGCATCACACTCCTTACCCTGGGTCCGACGCTGTTGGGCAGGTTATCCATTCGCCTGTTGTCACCTGCCATGCTGACAAGCGTGGTCACTAAACCAGCTACCCGTACTGCTTCTACGTTAGCCTGCATGCGATAAGATTTAAATTTATCGAATACTTAAATCTGAACCGCACTTTGGCAACGGCAAGCATTGAGTATGGTTTTGTTGTTTAGAATTTATTTGGACGATGCACTTCTAAATGCGAACGTCCATATCGAGTGGGGCGAATTCCGAAAATTTAAATCTTATTTGCGGTACACCGCATGGAATATTGGCAAGGTACCAACAAAAATTCTTATACCGGCCAACGTAAGACGATATGCACAATATTGTATAGCGACTTGGAATAATGCGGATGACTTCGTGAGTTTCAACGAGTTCTGGAGCGCTAGTTCTGCCGCTCTCGCAACTGTGAACTGCATTACATACACTACGGAACTGTTTACATGTCATTCAAAACAACTGCTATAGCTAATACCATTTCTCACAAAGCCGTGGATGACATGTATGCTCTCAAATTACGTCGACATCGAATGATGATCATGGAGAAGTCTGTTTAGTGAGTATGGAAGATGAAGCAAACAATGTAAACAAAGCCTTACTGTTTATTATTACTTCACGAGAAACTAACCTCTCCATGCCATCTGTTATAGGGTATCAGGAGTATTCGTCGGGTGCAGTGTGATTAATGATATACAAACCTTAGTGAGATCTCGGTGGAGCTTTTTCAAGTGGAAAAGTGTCAATCCAATGCAGACAGCGTTAACGCCTATCCAAAGAGCGTTAAGCACGTAATGCCTGAAGGGTCCTCGCACTAAAGGACACGAGGGAGCCGGTCCGTACGACCCGTAAGAGCCTGCACTGGCAGCCAAAGCCCCAGATAAGAACGTGGGCCCGAGATTTATCGTTATCGATGCGAACCAGATCATGAATGTTCCGAAGAGGACGCACTGCAACAAAATATTCACTTTGTATATTAAACTTATTGTGAGCCACCAAATATTTTAAATAAGTTCAGTAATGTATTGCAGAAGCCTTGAAATTACCAAAATTAAGGAAAGGAAATGGAAGTTTTTATCCTGCACAATGCCGAAATTTCCTCTACGAGTGAAGTAAAGTTACGATGGTGGTCGTAAGCGAAACGACTAGATCATAATTTTACCTGTGGGCTGTCCATCAGTAATGGCGCCGATAAATCAGCTTGCTCCTCCTCATTTTCAGGGAAAATTGGACTGTCATTGAGAACCGTCGTGAGCATGTTCACTGTGGACACTGTCACCTAAAATATTTTGAAATTAGTTGTCACTTACGTGTATAACACTGGAGTATGTACAAGTTAACTCTTTAGAAGACTTCCAAACTGATAAAATATTTTGATCAAAAAATAAACACCAGTTGTTAAGTAATAAAAAATGAAACCCCACCCTAAAAATACCAAACACAATTTTGCATTATAAAATCGAAAATTTTTAAAAAAGTTTATTAGCTCACTGCACACAATTTACTGTAATCATCAAATAGAATCAATCAATTGGAAACAAACATCAATAAAAATCTGTATTCGTAGTTTGTATTCCAAAAACTAATTCTACTATTCCCTACCCAATCTACGTCATAACGCTAGAATCCCAGACACATTTGTCTAGAAACATCCAACAACTATTCACAACTGACAAGATACTATCAAAATTAAGCATCAAAGATTACTCTTGCCTCTTTCTCGTCCATCTCAACTGAACTTAAGTGCCGATAAATCACTTTTATGTGCCAACTGCCTCCAGTTTCAAACAATCGTACTTTTGTCAGCGAAGATCTGTTACTTTTTGCATTCTATTGATGCTCATCTGTGTTTGATGACACTTAAGTTCAGGCTCATATTGATTATAAAAAGAGTCTTTGGCTGCAATAACTTTTGTTATTTCTGTTTATACATAGATACTTTCAGTTAGCTTTTTTTATGTAAAAGGTCGGCAAACGAGCAGACGGATTACCTGATGGTAAGCAATCAGCGCCGCCCATGGACACTCGCAACGGAGGAGTTACGAGTGCGTTCCCGATCTTTTAGGGATTAGGGATTTGGAGATTTAGGAGGGGAGGGATTGGTAACCTCACTCACACGGCGAAACACAACGCTGTGGTTATTTCACGCCGATTTTCTGTGAGGCCGTGGTATCATCACTCCGGTCGAGCTGACCCATTCGTGCCGAAGCATGGCTCTCCTACACTTAGGTTGGTTTAGTAAATCCTGTTTTTTGTCCATCTTTTTTATTTAAAGTTATAAAATTGTATTTCTAATTCGGTTTCATAGATTTATTTGTATCAAACTATTTCTCTCTTAAAATGCTAAGCAAATTCCCAAAAAGCCAATTTATACTGATAGCCCAGTCAACGATGTATGTAGGTCCTCGAACAATCATAAAAAAGTTATGGGTCAATGAACATTGAATGGCTCATAGAATTTAATGGAGCCATATGGCAGACTGGTCAAGTTATAGACCATTAATCGAGATAATCATTTGCAAACATTTCCACAAATGCTACTCTCCAAGCGAATTGGGTACTTCTAAATTTGGACGTCCACATACATAATTGACTCTAATGGACTTTCATTCTGAATGTTTATTACGGATATAAATTTGGACCAAAAAATTTTACCGGACCTGGTTAATGTCAGAGACGCTCTCAATGCTCAATGTATGTATATTTAGGCAGGCACATTTCAGTTTATTATTTACCAATAATCAACAGACAACATCTGAATAAACAATTTTTATTTATGCTTCCAAAAAAATATTATTTTAAATTATATTCCACTTATATGTTATTTATAATAACAGCATTGTTTCATTTCTCATACTGTGTAAAAGAACTAAAGACTCCTTTTAACTTGTTTACTTCTAAAATCGTGGCTACACCGCACACGTAATGCAACTCCACACTTTTCCAATAAATGCGGATTGAACATTTTTGTGCAGTATTTTTTAAAAATGCTGACTGTCCGTGACACGAATTTAGGTGGCAAAAAAAAATCCGATACCGACTCTGTGGTTTTAATTTGAGGACGAATTTATATTTTGTTGATTCCGTCTCATATTCTGTGGTCAATGGTTTCAGTTCATTCTGTTGGACATGTTGGAATTGCATGTCATATGTGCGAGCGGACTATGTCACGAAGTGAGAAACATTCGATCCTCCCCAATGCACTGACGAAGTGTAACGAAGTTATATGTATGTATATAAGGTACTAAAACATAAACTAATACGATTCTTCTATGTAAATTCAAATCGTATTTTATGGGTTTGACAATTTCTCAAAGCAGAAGATTGGTGGTCCAAAACTTTGTTTCGAACTTAATTTCACATTCAGATGTTCAGAATTTGTTTTGGAAATTGATTACTGTGCACAAAGTAAGTCTAGTAAAGTGTGGTAATCTAATAAAGTGAACTGGTTATTGAAATAGTACTATCAAAGTTTCAATAATCCTTATTGATTAGCTGCCTGATCTGAATCCCTCTTATTCTAGTTTGTAGAACATTAGAAAAGTTACTTAAGTTCTCCTATCATTTAATAACACAAAACCTTTAATTATGCAGTAAAATCCTGCTTACAAATTATTTTATTTGTTTAGTTTTTTTTAGTTTAAAAAACCTTGCCCCGTCTTGGCTTTTCTTCTGTGTCGTGGGTGCGTTTATAAACATATAATTTCACAAACACATCACACACAGACCCGGAACAACAATTGGTGGATCCCATGAAGATCTTGACTGAAGAGTCTAGAGTCTAGAGAGGGGAATAGAACCCGGCCGCGACACGTTCCGTAGCAGCATAACAAATACAAAATATTAACTTACCAATAGCAAAAATGCGGTTTCAACCAGCGAGCACTTGTAAACTGGCTGGCAGCGGAACACAGCAATGCCAAGAGGTAGCAAGATGGCGGCCCGAGCGAGGTCCACAATCGCTTGGTGGAACAGCAGACCGTGAGACCATCTAGAAATTTCCACAAGAAGTAAGTATTCCGGAGTTGGTTTATTTAGAGTTAGAGGAGCCGGTGACCCTGTAAGCATAAGTGTTGATGTTGTTGATAGTGAATGTGGTTTTAGTAGGTTGGTGGTAAAATAAGAAGTTAAAAGACATTCCGATATAACAATTATTTGAAGTCTCCTTTGTTGAACAGTGGCTGATAAAAAGATGATAATCAAGCGAAAAACAAACCATCACCACCGTGTTGTTCAGATCGGAGTCGTGATAGAAGATCCAAGATATCCAGAAGATCCTTTAGGTTAAACTTTTTTTTCAAATGACTTCTCCCACCCAGGATCCCTTTCCTGTTCTGGGCCGAGGCTGCAGTGCCTCATTGCGCTTATCCCGCAACCTTAGTAGTACCATGACGATTTAATATGAATTTTGTATGTACACCTAGGCCTCTTATACAATGCCTTTTTAATAGCTTGAAGTGTTGTGGTGTACAATAAAATATTATAAAATAATTCTCCTCTTTCAGAAATGTAAAACATGATAGCTATGATGACAAAAAAGCAAAATTCAATTTTGAAAATGAAAACAAACATAAATAGGACATTTTTGTATTTAATTTTATAACGTCAGATTCCTGCAAAAACATTTTTCTCGAGACTCTCTTATCTTTTCTGCGAGATTGACACAGAAGGTAATTTAAATTCCGAATGACGAGAATTACAGCGATTCTAGCAGGCAGTATTCCATAGCTTAAACGACAAACATACCCGCTGAAATACGCAAAGAAAATTATACTATAATCAAATCTAAATTAAGTTGAAAATCGAATTAAATCATTTTCTGAGTCTTGTCTTGCGCTTGTTACTTGGGTACTCAATCTTCTATTTCTATTGAGGAGGATTAGTATCAATTTACTCAGTATGAGTCTGTCATTAGTCTCCGTCTAAGGTAGCTAACCCTAAGGCAATTTTATTTTTATTAAGCTCACATAGTATTTCAGTTCCACATTTGAAATTGATGAATACAGGATTGATTTACAAATGTTCTTATTTTTTTACTGTGATATTGCTCATTGGTACATTCTAAATTTTGAAAGTAGGTTATATATTATAGTTTGTCATAAACATTTCACATTCCTATTTTTGTCAGGAAAAACATCCAATCCAATTTTGTTAGTACCACACTAGAACTGAACATTGTAAACAGTTTGATTGATCAAAATATATAGAAAAATACATAAAATAGCATGACTCCGGTCTGATTAAGGGGTCACAAAAACACAAGTTTCGCATGTCGTACTAGGGATTTTTCTGCCACTATTTATACTTTAAAACTCAACTTACAAACAATACAACTGCGTATATAACATACCTAATTTATTAGTTCAAACACTCCCCAAGCGCCACACGAACATCATAATTCATGCTGTCAGAAGAACAGGTATAAAATTTCCAATAAGTGATTTATCAATCATCAGAAAGTGTCACGCACTTAAAGTGCCCTAGAGGGCGCACTTGGGGGACATTTCTTCGCATCACAGACGTAAATAATACATCACATGGTCCATTGGGGCGTTTTGAGAAACTTTGAGGAATAAAAGTGTTTGTTTATTTAAAGTTACTAGGCAATCTTTTACTTTTTTTTTGTTTTGTGAGATGTATTTGTTGTCTTGTATTTCTTCGGTAATACGGTAGTACGATTTTATATAGACCGATACTTAGTTTCCAATTAAATTTGGTTTTTCGTTCTAGACCGTAATTCAAAAAACCCTATTTTTATCAGGGGAAAGTCAAATGACTTCTCCCGCCCGGGGAAGGCGAGTGTCAGACTGTTACTGAGTAAATCCCCCCCCCCCGTTCCTTCTCCTGCTCTGGGCCGAGGCCGTTTTATCTTTTATCTTTTATCTTTTATCTTTTATCTTTTATCTTTTATCTTTTATCTTTTATCTTTTATCTTTTATCTTTTATCTTTTATCTTTTATCTTTTATCTTTTATCTTTTATCTTTTATCTTTATCTTTTATCTTTTATCTTTTATCTTTTATCTTTTATCTTTTATCTTTTATCTTTTATCTTTTATCTTTTATCTTTTATCTTTTATCTTTTATCTTTTATCTTTTATCTTTTATCTTTTATCTTTTATCTTTTATCTTTTATCTTTTATCTTTTATCTTTTATCTTTTATCTTTTATCTTTTATCTTTTATCTTTTATCTTTTATCTTTTATCTTTTATCTTTTATCTTTTATCTTTTATCTTTTATCTTTTATCTTTTATCTTTTATCTTTTATCTTTTATCTTTTATCTTTTATCTTTTATCTTTTATCTTTTATCTTTTATCTTTTATCTTTTATCTTTTATCTTTTATCTTTTATCTTTTATCTTTTATCTTTTATCTTTTATCTTTTATCTTTTATCTTTTACAAAAAATACAGTAATTGTTTATCTCTTTCTCATACAATACATTTCTTCTTCTTCACCAAGGTGTTGCGTGCACATGACAATCTTTTAATGAACGATGGGTATTTTCTGTACCTACAATACATATTTATACCTCTAGACCTCTATGCTAAGCAGTGGACTTGAAGATCGCAGTTTATAAGGTTCAGGTTTTTTAAGAGACCATCATTCCCTACCTTTATCCCAGAGTCATATACTAAATCCAATGTACAACATAGCAACATTACATTGTACCCGTAACCCCGGCTAAATGGGATCCTGCTGTGATAGATGGGGATCTGTGGTGGTCTATTGGCTGTTGGCACTTACGCACAGGCAACCAACAATACTAATCATCTATTAAACATGCCACCATCAACATTGTTCTAATATAACTAAGGACTGTGAGACTTTGCTAAAATTTGTATCAAATTAACTTAAAATCATTTTTGTTGTCAAAAATATTTACAATACAAATGCTTGTAGTGTAAATGACATTAGAAATATACTTTTTTTTAACTTCTTCCTTATGTAAAATCTAAGAGATCTCAATTTATTTACTATTTATTTATATAATTATGAAAAAAGGTTTTAATTTTAGCCAAGTTTTATACAAAAGTTACATCGAAAACGTGCAGCCTTGGTGGCTTACAACACAAGAATAGCGCAGCCAAAAATACTTTTTACATTCCTAACATGTCAATCGTCTTGAACTAGGTTACCCGACTAGACATAGAAAACCCATTTAGAATTTTATTAATAACACACTTTTCTTTGTTTTTTTGAGGAGTGAAGGTTCGTCAAATGACTTTTCCCACCCTAGATAGGACAAAAAAACTCCAATTTAAGTAATAATAAAGTAGAACAAAATAAAATTGTTCATTCCTAATCGTTCCTTGAGTGAGACCCGACTAAGGGCCCCCTTAGCCCTGTCTCTGTCTAATGTGATTAACAGAGGCTGGTAGTAGAGCTCCATTACACACCTAAACTATTTATAATTCGATCTCCAAGATTTGCTAAAAATGAAGATTATTGTATACACCATTACGTAGAGGGCCCTATCCTATACCCCAGTGGTATTGATGATCACGACAAAGGACAAACATATTTACAGAATTGGAGACAACACACCAACAAAATCAACCTATATTTACTACAAACTATCTTAAACCTAATAAATATAAATCAACAATTACTCTATACATAATTATATTTACACTTGAATACTATCTTAAGTCTTATATATACAAATCTACAATTACTACATACACAATTATATTTACACTTAGAAACTATCTTAAGTCTAATAGAAACAAATCAACAATAACTATATACAAAGTCTCACAATTAATAAAAATAAAGTATTTTACTTACAGACCTAACCTTTATTTTAATAATAAATACTATATCTACACATATTTTACTACATACACACTATACACAACTATTACTTTAAAAACACTATACAATATATACACAACATTATTTACAAATAATAAAATACACAAACATGCCTAAGTCAAAGTGCTTAAAGTTCGGTTTCTTGAACGCGGGGTCACTGGGAACAAAGCATGATGAATTTAGGATAGCCATGTCTGAACACTCTGTAGATGTCATGGCGATCAATGAGACATGGCTGAGACCGGGTGAAGAGGGGCGTGCGCCTAGTGTCCCGGGTTACAGACTGAAGCACGTACCGCGGTCGAGTTCTGTGCGGGGAGGACGAGGTGGAGGCGTTGGTTTTTACATAAAAACAGGAATTAAGGCGAGAGTGATGAAACACTCTGAACAATCAGATATAGAGCAGATGTGGCTTCTCATAATCGTAAATGGTAGGAAGATCTTGGTAGGCACTGCTTACAGACCGCCATGGTTTGACTTGACTGGATTCCTGGATGGTATAACTGACAGCGTCACTGCATTGGCCCCTTACGATTATGTTATTTTGTTAGGGGATTTTAATGTAAATCTATTAATTAATGATTACAAGACTACTACCTTGCTTGACTTTATAAACTACACACAAATGAACCAAGTAGTTCAGACGCCTACGCATTTCGTGGGGGATAGTGGTACCCTAATTGACATTGTTTGTACAGACATAAAGGTACGGAACGTCGTGGTAAATCACATCAGCGAACTTGGAAGTCACTCCTTCATCACATGTGAGGCAGTGATTAAGAAGGAGAAGGTCAAACCAAGAACTGTATCCTACAGACCATTACAGGACATATTAATGGAACAGTTCACAGCGGACTTGAAATCCATACCATGGTTGGGAATGACGAGGTCAAATGATGTCAACAATATAGTCACACAATTTATTAATGCAACTACTCAGCTATTTGACCTCCACGCACCCATGCGAACAAAAACATTTAAAAACCTCCCTACTCCATGGATTACTGACAACATAAAGCTGATGTTTAGGTTAAGGAATGAGGCACGAGGTAAGTATTATAACTTAAAAAAGAAGGCTAGTAACATAGATCACATTGAAACTGCCAAGAAATATTATACAGACCTCAAAAAACAGGCATTATTTGCTTTGGCCCGGGAGAAGGATGTTTATTTCT